GGAGCCGCTGTCTTCTGCTTGCACCAAGCTGCGGGGAAATGTGGTTTTCCTCCCCTCCTCTAGCAAAATGCCCAAGCTAAGGGCAAAAATGCAACTCATCCCAACTTGAAAAACCCGGTCAGCTTCCTACCCACAGGCTACCCTAAGACTCTGGGACATGGAGAGAGGTACTAATGTCCCCTTGATATATGGAGGAGAACGTATAGGCCCAGGAATCAATGCTGATGGTGACCTCTCTTGACCCAAGTCACTTGGCTCCATACCTCTACTTTCTCCTCTGTAAAATGGGCCTGAGGGGTGGGATCCCCCAAGGGAAGGTGCAACAGGGCTTTGATTTTAAAGGAACAGGTGGTCCCAGATCAGAACTGGGGGAGTGCACAGGAGACTGATTGCTTGAGGGGGGTGTTCACAGTGAAAGACAGGTCACTCCTGTGACCTCTGCATGACTGGATTTTTGTGAGTCATCCTACAGTTTATTTCTAATAAAGTTTATTCTTTTGCCAATGGCTCTTCAGCCTGTTGTGACTGCCCTTCCCTATCGCACCCCCTCTGCTCTACACTTTGCTGCTCCTTCTCAGCCCAACCTCCTGCTGCACAGCTGTTCTGGGACTTAGGAATGGATTAGAGATAAGCAATGTCTGCAGCAGGTAAACCCTGCTTTGCAGGATACCAAGCCTGGGAGCAGCCCTCCTCTTCCTCACTGCCCAGTGGTAAAGGGTACATGTTGTGAGCTCCGAGATGGAGGGGGATGTGGAATGGGGTCAGAAGCCCCGTCCACAGCAGAACCATTTTGAAGGATGGGAGTAGTTATTTGTCTAAAGTCCCACTTCTCCCCTCCCAACAATCCTACTCATCATTGCAGCGTACCCGTGTATGCAGCAAGAGACTGAAGTTTGATGTGAGCTGAAGCAATAACTATTACTGAGCTCTGATACCCATTTTACTGGCCTGTCATTCAGCTCTTGCTATTTAGATACCAAACACAAATGCTTGGAAGAGCAGCAGCAAAATGCAGGTCTACACCTGTGTGGTACTGAATGGGATGGGAGGAGCATTCAAGACAATATTCCCATTAGGAAAAACTTAATATATTTAATTTAAAAACCAAAGCATCCTGTGCCTGCCCCAAATCCCTGCTGGAACACAGGCAGCGAGATCCAGGCCCTGTTCCCACACCGCCGTCCCAGCTCATCTGTCATGGTGCCATCTTCAGTGGTACTTACGCCACCGATCGGCTTCTTTAATGAGAGAAAGTGGTGTTACAACATCATAATGTGTGTGAAACTTGGTACCCTGGCTATAAAGGAGTGTGCTGTTTCTTTGGTTGCTTTTAGACATTGAGATCACCTAAGCTGCCTTATTGTTGTAGAGTTTTTTTAAACCTCTCTCTACTAATTACCATGGCCGTCCTTTACAGGTCAACCATCCACTAACCAGCAGGCCTGTGAAGCGTGATAGCTCAAGGAAGGGCAGACAGCATGCTAGCAGGAGTAAAGGGATTAAAATCCTAATTGTAACAGCAAAAGTAATGTTGAAACCTATGGAGATGTGTGCAGGTACACATGTGTTCCTCCCTGGCTAACAGTGGCATGGCTGAGAGGGAAAGACTTCTGGAAAGCTTCGCTTGCTTGGGGCTCAGAGTATTTTACAACCCTGAAATGCTAGAGTACGAGCCCAGATCTCTGAAAATGGGTTGTATGATGGGAGTCTGATTGTGCCCATTGCCATGAGAACATCCAGCTGCTGAAAGTACCCATGAAATGGGAAACTAGCATCTCCCCTGCCCCGGGTAGGGAGCAGAGTGCAGTGTGATCCCAACCTGTGCTGCCCAGTGTAGCCACTCTCTTTCTGGACAAGTAAGAATAGCTCAGCTCGGAGGAAGGACTTATCATATCCATAAACTAGCTGGATCAGGCACATAACATAGGGCCTTTCCGGCTGGTTTCTATAGCATTGCCAGTCCCCGCTGCTGAGGGCTTTGATTCCAGGTTGTGAAACCAGTGACTGGCTTATGCTGGTGTCAGAGCGGCAGAGAACTTCATGACTAAAACAAACAAGTTTTGTAACTAAAACCAGTACTGATGTTCTGTTGGGGAGCTGCACCCTGCCCTTACAGGCGATGGACTACAGGATGGCAAGTTGTATTTGTGCAGCGTGGAAGCCCGTTCTCCTTGTGCTGAAACAGCTGACATAAAGGAAAGCTCCTAAAGGAAGACTGCCCTGCAGAGAGACAGATGCCAAAAAGAAACCCTTACTCATGTGCTCGTATTGCCAGCAGTAGCTGAGGACGCAGTAGCCAGCCAAGAGCATGGAGATCCCTGCAGCTCCTCCCTTCTTCAAGTCGATGTATTTGCTGTAGAAGCTGTTCCAGGCTGTTGAAACAGATACAAGGCCCAGCTTGCTCACTGCTTTTACAGGAGTGTTGATGGGCTCGTTACAATTTAGAAGCCAAATGACTGGCTCAGCCTAGACCCTTCCTCCTGGCAGCGGCACCTCAGCACCAGCTGTTTCTTACCCCAGTTTGCTGCCTTGTTCTTCAAGCAGGCTCTAGGCACCAAGGGGAAGCAAGTGCTCCAGCCTTACCTGTTTGTGTTGTGTTCAGCAGCCCCTTCGGAGAGAAGTCACGGGTCACCAGCCAAACAGGCAGCTCCCCCAGCGTCACGTCTGGCAGCCGCTTTTCCAGGAGGGGACCTGCAAAAAGCAGAGCCACGCACATCAGAGGTAGAGAGGACAGGGTTGGGGCACGGTGTCTGTGTGCTTTGCTGGCAGGAGAGGGCATTTGTGCCATGGCCCTTTCATTGCGTCTGTCTGAAATTATACCTCTAGCTCTGAGCGGACGAGTCTGCTCTCTTCCCTAATGGTGAGGCCTGCTTCCTGCCTGGATAAAGGTGCTCTGGATGCTGTAGAGAGGGCACCGGGGAGAGGAAAGCTCTTTTGGGTATTAAGCCATGTGGGTCTGCTGCCTGCATGGGGCTGTCTGGGGAAGTCAAGGAGGAGACAGCTGCTGGCTGCAAGAAGGTCCCTGGTAATCCTCTATTCTGTGTGAGAGCCCATGTTGCTCAGCAGCACATCCCTTTCTTGTAAAGTCCAAGCCACAAGGTACCACAGGCCAGGGGCTAGCTTTAGGGCTGGGGTGGGGAGGTCTGGACTAGGAGATGCCCCAATTTGGGGGGGGAAAAAAAAACAACCCATGCAAAAGGGAAGCAGCCCTGTTTCCCCAGGAGACTATGCAGCTAGCTATGCTGTTGCTGGTGAAGTCAGCCATCCCCCCCACAACAGAAAAGTCCATCAGTGAGAAACCGTTACCCGTTCCCCCTCCTGCAGGACAACTGAAGCCGCCAGTGACCTACAGGCAGTGAGTCTCAGAGGCAGAGCTGCGAGCCTCCTGCTTTACCTTGCTGCCCTTTGTAAGAAAAGAGATGGCGCCTAGCTTCTCCAATCTCCACGTCCTGCTGCAGAGGCTTCCCTCGAAATGCATTCACCCTGCGATAACTGGGATACAGTTCTGGAAACCACTCCAGCCCCTGGGCACCTTCCAGCTTGCTATTGCCAGATACCTGGGACAGGTGGAGGGGTTGGTGTTGGGAGTTGGAGAGCAAATACTGTTTCAAAGCCAGCTTCGTGTCTTTTGGTGTATTTGGAGGAGAGTTGGAGACGTGGGCAGGCTGCTGCTTATCCTTCGCGAGCTGCGCTATGCAGGAGAGGTAGTTCTTGGGCGTTTCTCCCCTGTGACTTGGGAAAGTACCTGTGACTGATGGACGTGACTCACTGGTGTGGACCTTTGGATCCACGTCACTGAGCAAATCGACCCACTTCACTCTTGTCAGATGTTCATCTCCGCTCTGCTGAACAAGCTTACCAAGATGGCCCTGGGGCGCAGATGCTACGGGCACATCCGGCACGGGCGTTTCAAGTGCAGTGAACCCATCGCCTTTTCTTCTCTTCTTTTTTCTCAGTGTGCTTTTCTCTGCAGCCTCAGGAATGACAGTCTCAGCATTTGGGGTTTCCAGAATGAACTCTCTGTGGCTGGCTAAGCAGTCTGGCTCCAGCAAGTCCATGTACCAGCTCTCCATCTCATGCTCCTCCTCAGGGGTGCTTTTTGCTTTAATGTCCTTCGGCTTGGATTTCTTCTGGTCTTTGGGCACTTTGACCTGGCGCTTCTCAATCACTACATTCAACGCATTGACATCCTTAGCCCCAGCCTCTGCCTTGGCTCCTCTTTGTGGTGCAAGGGCTTCGACTGGGTCGTTAGGAAATCCTGAAGCAGATTTTCCATCCTGGCTCCCGGGAGCAAGTTTCAAACCTTTGCCAGGTGCTGAACTTGTGAGACCAGATGCTTTTTTACTTCTGCTTTTCTGTGGCAGGAGTAACTCCTGTGCAGCCTGTGCCTTAACAGGCACCTTCCCCGCTGCCTTCATGTGTGCTTTGTCCTCTTTTTGGAGAGTCCCCTTTCCCTTCTCTTTCTGAGTCATCTTCGAAGTCCGTTTAATTAGCTGCTCCGTATTGTTATCTGGTTTTTCTGTGTGCAAGACATTGGTTTTTCTCCCTTCAGCAGCACTTTGGGGCTTTTGTTTGCTGTGTGCTTTGTTCTTTGCTGCACCAAGCTTCTTTTTCTGACTTTCTGGTTTTGAGTCAGTCTCTGCAGCTGTTACCTGGCCTTTGCTTTGTCCCGTCTTTTGCTTGGTGGACAGAAGCTGAGCTGGCTTTGAATGCCCTTTTTCCAGGTCAGCAGACAGTGCTTTTCTGGAGTCTAAGGGAGCTCTCTCATCTCCTGCCATCTTGCAGCGTGGCAGGTGCATCTTCAGCCACTTATAAGGCTTTCCACAGTATGGGCACAGCTCCTTTTCTGGGGGGGCCTTTGCCATCTTTTTACCTGGAAAGGCAAATTTAACACAGGGATGTTACTTAATGGCATGGGGTGTAGCAAAAATGCATGCTGTGCCGCGAACTACGAGCAAGGCAAACTCTCTTCCAACCAGAAACTGATTGGCAGGACACAGCAGACAAGGGGAAAAATTACTAGATAGCAAAGGGAAGTCAACACATTTTGGCAGGGGTGGGGGACAGGGACATCAACGTAAAGATATAAAACTGGGAGTGAGAGGGATGGAGGCTCAGAAGGCAGAGAGAGCTTGCCTATACTAGCAAAAGTTAATTACATAGGGGATCTGCAAAAAGCAAAGGTCATTAATGAAACATACCTTTAGTTACGCATGTTGCCTAGAGAGCCCTGTGCAAAGCCTGGGAGTCTCCTCCCTAGCTTGCTCTGAGGGCCTTGGGGCTAAGGGGAAG